CGGGTCCGCCCCCGTTCGCAGGTGCCCAAAGCGGGTGGCGGCGGCGCGGCAATCCCGTTCCGTTCCGGTCCGTCCCGTCGGTTCGATGGCGACGCGCTGCGCGCTCCCGTGGCTGCTCGCCGCTGCGGTGCTGTGCGGGGCGGCAGAACGGTGCCCGTCGTGCGGGGCCGAAACGGAACGGCGGCTGTTGGAAGAAGCGGCCAAACGGCAGCTGCTGGACGGGCTGAGGCTCCGCGAAAGGCCACGGATCGCCCACGCCGTGCCGCGCGTCGCCGTGGCTCGGGCGCTGCGGAGGCTGCAAGCGGACGGGCCCCGACGTGGTGACCCCCCCGAGGATGAGAGGAGCTTCGAGATCATCAGCTTCGCGGAGGAAGGTGGGTGCGGGACCCCAGTGTGGGTGCGGGACCCCATTGTAATTGTGGGACCCCAATGTGGGTGCGGAACCCCACTGTAAGTGCAGAACCCCACTGTGGGTGCGGGACCCCACTGTGGATGCGGGACCCCATTGTAAATGCAGGACCCCACTGTGGATGCGGGACTGCCCGGGATGCGCAGCCCCGAGCACCGCAGCGCTGTTCTCCCTCCCCTCCCCTCCTCCCCCTCCCGGGTCCTCGCGGTGGGGTGGGGGTGTCCGGGAGGGCTCAGCCCGAACTGGAATGGAACCGTCGGTCCGTGACCCCCGGCACTGCTCGGAGGGGCTCAGATGACACAGACGGACCCCCTCTACCCCCCCTTCTCCCCCCACCCCGTGCTGCTCCCCTCGGGGATCCCTGTGGCACTGCGATGTCCGTGTGTCCCCCCACGCGATGGATGAGGACAGCGCGGCAGTAGGGAGGGGACTGAAGGGACGCTCTCGTGTGCACAGAATCCTCGGCTTGGATTTATGGTGGCCGGGGAGGGGAGGGGAGGGGGGTTTGGGGGGGGGGGGTGAGGACAGAGATGGTGGAGGGCCAGAGGGATTGGAGCTGAAGGGGATGGGGGCTGTAAGGGGATGAAGGGCTGCAGGGACGGGAACGGTGCCCCGAAGCAGGGCTGCAGGGCCGGCCGGGGGAAGGGACAGCGTTAGGATCAGGGCAGGGCGTCCCCCGGTCCCCACTGTCCCCCTCTGTGCCCGTTCCATTGGGCAGAGTGGGACGGTTCCCTCATAAAGCAACACGTGGACAAACGCGCAAAGTGCAGCATCCTCGGGGAGGGGCGGGACGGACCGAAGGACGGAGGTGGGGAGGGGGGCGAGGTGGGGGGGGTGGGTTGCGTGTGGGATCTCAGCCCCGTGGGCGCACCGCTCACCCCCTGCCCTCTCTCCCCGCAGAGCCCACGTCCTCCCCGGGCACAGTGCTGCGCTTCCACCTCTCCCCCCCTCCGGATCAGGACGTGCGCGTTGTTCAGGTCCAGCTGTGGCTTTACGTCCGCGTTCCTCGCGGCGCGGTGACCAACGTCACCCTCAGCATCTCCCTGCTGGAGGGGCACGGTGACGTCGGGGGGGAACGGCGCGTGTTGCTGAGCGCACGGCGGCTGAGCGCTCGGGGCAGCGGCTGGAGGACCTTCTCCATCCTCCCCGCCTTGCGCGGCTCCTTCGGGGCGGAGCGCGGAACCGTCCGGCTGCACCTGCAGAGCTCCGGGGACGGCGGAGGTTTCGTCACCGCCTCCAACGCCACGCAGCCCCGTCAGCCCTTCTTGGTGGCCTCGGCGACGTTGCGGGACCCGGAGCATCGCGTGGTCAAACGCAGCCTGAGATGCAGCCGCGACTCCGCTCTGTGCTGCCGCCGGGATCACTACGTGGACTTCAGATCCATCGGTTGGAACGATTGGATCATCAGCCCCGAGGGTTATCAGCTCAATTACTGCGTGGGGCAGTGCCCGCTGCACGTCGCGGGCAGCCCCGGTATGGCTTCGTCCTTCCACAGCGCCGTGCTCAGCCTGGTGAAAGCCAACAACGTGCGCACGGCCGCCCATTCGTGCTGCGTCCCCACGCGTCGCCGCCCCCTCTCGCTCCTCTACTTCGATCGCAACAGCAACATCGTCAAAACCGACATCCCCGATATGATCGTGGATGCGTGCGGGTGCAGCTGATGGAGGCAGCCCTGGGATCCCCCCGCATCCAGGACTGCCACGGGGAGACCCCCAACCCCTTCCCCCCCACCCCCCGGACTGCGGTGCGATGGAGGGAGCGGGGAGGGAGCGGCTCCGTTCCCACCGGAGTGGGGCTGAAAGGCTTTTGTTGCTCCTCTGCCCCACTGCTGCAAATGTGGGCTGGCTTTGGGGTCAGGGAGCGATGCACTCACGGCCCTAAAAGCTGAGGGTGAGGGGGGTGATGCTGCCAAGAGCCCTAAAAGCACAGTGGTGAGATGCTGCCCTCAGCCCCAGGAGGATGCAGAGCTGTGTGTGGGGTTTCTCTCCCCTCCTAGCCCCATTCCCCACGTGTGCAAACCCCACGTGTGTGTGTGTGTGTGAACCCCCCCCACACACACTCAGCTCCCTCCCAGCCCAGTTTCTCCCACACGGAGCTCCTGGTCACACTTTGCCTTTGAGGCCGCACTAAAGATGGAGACACGAAGACACAAAGTTTTGCACCTCCGGTTTTGCAGCCATCACCACTTCCCCACAGAGGTTTCTGCAGCCGTAGGGACCCCCCCGGGGCTCTGCTCTCCCCCCTGCCCCCCCACATCTCCACCACAGAACCCACTCTGCCTTCGCTTTCTGGTGCTCATGTGTGCAGTGCATCCACGCGCTCCGTGCTTTTAATTTATTTTCCCACTTTGGTGCAGCTTTCCCCAATAAATGGGTGGAGATGCGATGCCCGGGCTCTGTCTCACTGCTTTCTCCTGACACCACCTGCACGAGGAGGGGAGGACGACCCCAAATCCATCCCCCAAACCTCGGGACTCCACCACAAATAGCAGAGCCCCCCTCCACATCACCCCTCATTGACCTCCCCAATCCCACAGCTCCCCACACATCACCCCACGACCCCTCTCCTCCCCACAGCATCCCACCACAGCCCAGTGATGCCCAGACAGGTGGGGAGCATCGCACGCAATGTGGGGTTGGGGAGATCCTGGGGCGGGAGGCGATGCCCTCCTCTCATCCCTCCACGATGCCACCGGGCCACCCTGGGTCCTCGTTGTGCAAGCGCCGCTCAAAGCTCACCGTGGGGCCGTTTTATCTGGGAACAAACCCACTTGGCCCCGCGCTGGGGCGGACAAAGGGCAGCTTTCATCAGCCACGCATTGCGGGCAGCCCCCCAAGGGCTGTGGGGCAGCACAGCCACGGCGCACGCTCCCCAAAATGACCCTATAATGGGCAGAGCTGACCCCCCTCCCTCCCTCTCCCCCTCCTTATCCGATGCTTCGGCCTTTGGGGCACACGTGCACGCTGCTGATGAAGCAATGCCATGCAGGTGCTGAGATGCAGGTGTGGGGTCGGGGTGAGAACGTGGAGATTTGTGCTCTCCTTTCTCCCAGCCGCACTGCAGACTGGGGCAGCACCCCCTGCGGGTGCTGAGAGAGATGCAGATACGGGTTTTGGGGTGGGCACGCGTGGATCCGCGGTCTCCTCACTCCCACCCTGCAGCATCCCAGCTCTGCTTTTCCTTTCCCTGCAGCGTGGATGCTGCACGGCCCGGTGCTGACTCACTGACACACTGACATGCTGACCCACAGTGAGTGCAGGGCTGGGGGTACCTCTCAGCCCTTAATCCACGTGGATCATCCCACCCCGCTCTGAGCCGCTTTGACTTTCCTAAATGGGAGGGCGAGATTATCTGGGGTGGGGGCGGGGAGGGGTCTGTGCCGTGCTTCCCTTTCTACGGGCTGCCCTGGGTCTGGTGGGTGAGCGTCACCCCACGGGAAGGGGCAGTGGGGGGGTTTGGGGTAGGGAGGGGGTGCGCAGCGCTGCCCCACACCGTGCACAGGGCTGGGGGGGTTTCCTGCTGGCTTCACCGGGGTCACTCAGCTCAGGAGCAAAGCTGCTCAGCCCCTGAAGCGCATTACGAAACGGCACGGGGGGGCCACTCTCACTGCACCCACCACCTTGGCACTGGATTGGGGCTGATCTGCGGGGAGCAATCGGCCCACAGGGACCCTCTGGCGGCCCTCCCCTTGTGCAGGACGGATCTCCACCCCCCGCACCCAGCGGGCACCGTCAGCGCGGTCGGGTGGGGGGCAGCAGGTGGGTGATGGGAGGGGAGTGGGAAACTGAGGCATGGAGCTGTGTTATGGCCGCTGTGTCCTGCAGGGGTGCCATACGGCGCGGGGAGCGCGGTGCGTGCTGACACACGGGGACGCGGGGAGGACAAGGATCCCTAATGCGGAGGGTAATCCCACTCGGAGGCCACGGGGTCAGCAGCAGCACGCAGCTCCGGCACCTTCGAGAGCGCAGTGGGGATGGGGAGTGATGGGGTGGGAGTGGGCATCGCCACGGTGCCGTGCTGGGTGCCACCTGGGGGGGCTGTGAGTGTCTTTTAGGGTGCCGATCCCCCCCAGAAGGGCACGTGGGGCTCAGGGTGGGCTCTGGGGAGGGGGAATGGGGGCTGGGGGCTGGGGGGAGTCGTGCTGTCTGTCCCATCCCCCCCCCCCGCGTCGTGCCCTGCTGGCACTGCCACACGCTGTCACGTTCTGCCTGGGAGCGGGGGGCAAAGGGCACCTTCCCCGAAATAGCTGCGCATCGGGACGGCGTTGTGACACCGCCGTGGCAGCAGATGGGGACCAACCTTCAGTGCAAACAAACAGCAAAGGGACGCGGCCCCGAAGGGAAAGTGCCCCCCCAGGCGGGGAAATCACCTCCCCAACCCGGCGACCCTCACCTCTGCTCCCCCCCCCCGCCCCGAGCCCCCATCGCTGCGGTGCCGCCGCTGCAGCCACCCCGTCCATCACGTGCACACGGGGGGGTGTGGGGCACGGGGCCATCGCAGCCCCCACCGGGGGGGGCACGGGGCTGTGGGACCTCCGTGCTCGGTGTAGAGGGGGGGGGGCTGCAGGACTGGAGCCCCAACTGCAGCCTGACCGTGTGGGCAGAGCGGGGGGTGAGGGGGGGTCTCATCCCTTCCAGGGTTTGAGGTCAGGGCTGGCACCTGGCATGCTGTGCACGTGTGTGTGCGTGCGTGCGTGTGTGCAAAGCCACGTGTGTGCACGTGTGCGGGGGTCCCGTGCACGGGGTGCTTTGTGCGCACTGTGTGTGTGCACTGTGCGTGCACCGTTGCACAGATGTGATCGCTGTGAGCGTGCCAAGCGTGTGCCCGGATCCTTTTCACACCTGGGTCGGTGCACGGGTGCACGGACCCGTTGCACACGCACACACGCGCACACTCACACACGTGGGATGGCCCCGCGCGTGTGCAGGGCCGCGCGTGCCCGATCCACCCCGGGTTTTCGGAGTGACCGCGGCGCTCCCGGTTGGGGTCCCGAACGCTGCTCCGCTCCGCCGCCGCCGCCCGAAGTTGAATCCCGCAGCTCCGCCGCTTTTCTGCCCCGGGACGCGCCGCCCCCGCCGGGTCCCGCAGCGCTCGGTGTGGGCGGACCGCGATTCCGGGCCCGGTGGGGTTCGGGGGGAGAGGGGCCGTCCGTCCCGTCTAACCCTGAGCTCCGGGATCCGCCCCGCCGGGAACCGAACCGCACCGGGACCGAACCGAACCGCATAGCGACGCACCGGGACCGAACCGCCGCCGCCGGCCGGAGGTAGGGATGCGGGGCTGCGAGCGGGGCTCGGGCCGAACGGAGCTCCCACGCCCTCGCGGTTTCGGGGGGGTGGGCAGCGCCGTGCCCCCCCACGGGGTTGGGGCAGGGATGGGGCGGTCGGGGCGGTCCGGATCCCGGCTGTTTCGCATCCCCGGTACCGGAGAGGGGCAGGCGCTGCCTCGGCCCCCCCGGTGACGCAGCGCCCGCGGGACGGTCCCGGGGCTCCTCGAGCCGTATGCGGGGCTGCTGCAGGGTCCTGACCCCCCCCCCCCTCCCCACCCTTGAGCCTTTTGGACTCCTTTGGGTCACTTTGGGTCACTTTGGGTCACTTTGGGCCACTTCAGCCGCGCACGGTGCCGCCCCTCGAGCTCCAGAGCCCCGAGCATCCCCCGGGCCGGGGGGTCGGTGATGGCACGGGGGGGTTCCGCGGGGGGCTGCGCTGCTCCCCCCTCCAATGCAGAACACAGCAGGGCCATAGAAACCTCTGTGCCCGGACCCCCACCCCCACCCCCCCTCCCCAGTCTGCGGGAGGGCAGAGCTGCTTCCCCACCCACATCGTGGAGCACTCAGCCTGGGGTCGACCCGCCCTTCTGGGGGTGCATTGAGTGGGGGTACCCCCGAGCCCCCCATCACTCCGAGCTGCCACTGGCAATGGCCCCGATGCCTGCTGTGCCCCCACTGCTGCCTCCCTTTTGCCCCCCCCAAGGAGGGCTGGGTTGGGAGTTGTAGCTCCCATCAGCCCCAATTTGGGGTCCGGGCTTAAGGATGCTGGTACCCCCTGCTTAGGGATGCTCAGGAAATGTTTTTCCATAGAATTGTGCCTCCTGTGCTGAAGTGCCCAACGTTGGGCCCTGCGCGCACTGTGGGGGGGGGGGAGAGGGAGCAGGGGGTCCTGAGCTGGGATGTGGGGCTGAGAGATGTGGGGCAGCAGCAGACGTGGGGCAATGGCACATGTGGAGCAGGGAGAGGTGGAAGTGACCGCACTGCGGGTTTGGTGTGGGGCAGCAGGGGGAAGGGAGGAAGAAGTGGATGGATGGCGCTTCTCCTCCAGAAACTCAGAGCCAGGAGCAGCTCTGTGTGCAGTCTGTGGGGCAGGGGGTGGCAGAGCACTGCTGTGTGTCCCCCCACCCCCCCTGTGCTGCTGTGGGGCATTACGGGGTCTCTGCATCGCTCCAGCTGTGTTGCTCCATGCCCTTCCCTGGGAGCAGCGAGGGTCTGTGGGGCTCAGCCCAATCCTGACTGTCACCAAGGACGCTGGGGCTGCTTTTTGCCTTCCTCCATAAGCCCCCGTCCTGCCCTCCATCGGTGCTGATGTGGGTGCGTGGTGGTTGGTCTGAGCAGCAGCAATCTGCACCCAGAGCATCCCTGGGTGCATGTGTGAACCCAATGCGTGCACGCACACCTGTGGGCACGTGTGTGTGCACGCACCCGTGTGCACTGCACAGTTATCTACCCTTGCGTTCCTGGGTCCGCGTGCCTCAGTTTCCCCTGCTATCTCCTCCAGCTGTGCAGAGGTCCCGGGGATGTGACACATAGCAAAGGTTGGATGGGTTCTTAGTGAGCACCGTGAGTCCTCGTGGGGCACCACAGCCCTCCAGAAGCTGCAGAATAACAGCGGGAACAGCTGATAAAATAGCTGCCACGGAGTTGGGAACCAGCAGCAAAAACACCGCGTCGGGTTTCAGCTTCCGGGGCTGAGGATGGGGCAGGGCTGTGTGAGTGCCCCAGATGTGGGGTGCAGACCCTCACACCCCAAAACCTCCACTCCTGGTGCAGGGGAGCACGGCTGTGGCTGATGGGGCGGATGGGAGGGCCGCTCTATGGGCTGGGGGGGCAACTCTATGCATTGCAGGGCAGCACCTTTAATGCTTTAACAACCCCCCTGAGCATCCTCACACCCCAACCCCAAGGAGTCCTTTAGGATGGAGCTGTGCAGTGGGGACGGCTCAGGGTGACCCGAGGACACACATCACCCACTGCCCCACCTCCTGCTCCGGGGGTGTCCCACTGTGTAGTGCCAGGTGGGGGGCGATGCCGTGGGGAGGGGCTGCCCCATGACTCAGGGCTGGACGTTTATGGCTCCCACATGTTCCATTTCGCCGTTTCCCTCCAGCGCCACGAAGGGGGAAATATAAAAATTCCTCCAACGGCCGCTGCTGTGTCCTGCTCTCCTCACCCCAAAACCTCCCCAGCCCCCCCCCCCTTCCCCAACCCCTCCCGTGGACCCCATCCCGGGGCAGGGATGTGGCTCTACGGGAGCAGCGTGCAGGGGTGGGACGTGTGGGGCCAAAGCAAACAGGGACCACCTATTGAGCATCGCTGCTCGAGCCTGGGGGCTGCCCCATAGGGGGCACAGAGCTGTGAGCCCCCCCCCTGCAGCCCCCCTGCCCTCAGGTCACCTGGAGTGTGCACACACGTGTGTGAGCTCGTGTGAGCGTGTCAGTGCACGGTCCCCGGTGGGTGTGGATGCATGTGGGAGTGAGGGGCTGGGATGGGGTATGTGGGGACGTGGTGTATGGGTGGGGGGGGGCCGTGGGTTGCTCGGGGATGGGGGGGGGCCTCAGCCCCCTCATGGGATGGCGATGCGTGCGGCAGAGGAGGATTTTGGTGTGGGATCGATGTGCCAAAGGCTGGAGGAGGTGAAAGGAGTGGGGATGTGTGTCCTGGTGGGAAGCTCTGCCTCTGCCCCTGCAGCCGGCACAGCTCCAGCCTGGGGACCACCGTGGGATGAGCTCTGCATCGCACACCCACCCGCCCGGGATCGTGACCCCCCCACCGTCCCCTTTCAGAGCCCCTGAACCCGAAGCGATGCGCTTTGAGGGCGCAGCATTGGGGTCGGTGTGGGGCTGTGAGCGGTGCCTTTGCCGGGGATGGAGGAGGAATCGGTGCCGGGGTGGGCAGGAGGAGCTGCTTCCAGGGGGGATGGGAGGTGGGGAGGGGGGTGGGGGCTCCGCGGGGACTGGGACACAACCCCATGGGCTGGGATCTCACGGCACAGCGGCGTGTCGCTCCCCATCGCTGCCCCCCGGCCCCGCAGCTTTGCACGTGTGCGTCTGCAGAGCTGCTCTGTGCGTGGGGGGGCAGATCAATGCGTTCAGCCCCACAGGGTTAAACCAATCGGGCACGCAGCTGACCCCGGGGTCGCAGCACCGGGGCTGTGGGATCGGTGCTGTGCTGAGTGCAGGGCCTTGGGCGGGGGGGGGNNCCGGGGAGGGAGGGGGGATGACGACGTGCAGTGGGGGTCCTGGGCGCTCTGCCCCCTGCTCTGACCCCTGCCTTGTTCCTTCACCCCACGGCACTTTGGGGTGGTTGGGGTGGATGGTGCAGCATCACCCCTTCAGCGCACACACGTGGATGTGCACGAGCACTCGTGCAAACGCAGACACGTGTGGGTGCTTGCACACAACCCCCCCCCCCCAAACAACAACAAAAAAGAAAGTACCCCGGCGCACACACGTGCACACACACCACACACACACACGGCCAAGTGTGGGCTCACACACGCAGGCAGCAGCGCACGCAGGGTCCCTCCCCCGGACCCCCCACGCCGGGCGCTGTGATGGATTGTGCCACACACAGCTCCGCCGGGATGGGATCGCTGCGCTAATCCAGCCCTGACATCACATTCCTCCGCTGTGGGGCTCCGGGGTTGTTAACCCTGCCAGGGCTGCGCTGGGGCTGGGGGTGCTGGGGATGGTGCTGAGCCCCCCCACCCACTCTTCTCCACCCCCCAAATCGTCCTTCCTCCAGGTTCAGCTGCAGTGGGTGCAGCTCTGCCCTTCTCCTATGGGCGCCTGCTCCTCTGCGCCCGCTCCTCTGCCTCCCAGCCCTTTCCCATCCCTCCATCCCTCAGCGCCGTGGGC